ACACTATGGAGGCAGTTAGCAGCATTTTCCCATGATGATAAATGCGTATTTTCTGCCACGTCTTTTGCAAAACAGCTCCTGTTAAATGTAACACCTTTATTAATTGAAAAAAGACCCCCACTGTCCCTTTGTCAACTGAAAAATAATGTTAAAAAATAGTAATGAGCAACTCCCTACCCTCAATAAATGCAGATATCACTCTGGACTAGGAATGGATGAATCTGTCTGTTTCAGGGTTTACCACTTTCTCATTTATCTCATCTTAAGTTTAGTTCTCACATTTCTGCATCAGTTTGCAATTTTTACTATACACATTTTAATGCAATTTTGCCTGATATGCACATGTTTGAACACACTTTCCCCTAATTAATGGATTTTAAATGTTATTTTTAGGTACACTTTCTCCTTCCTTTGGAAGTTTTTAAGCAGAGGTTGGATGGCAGTCTGTCATGGATGCTTGAGCTGAGATTTCTGCATTGCAGGGGGTTGGACTAAATGGCCCTTGGGTCTCTTCCAACTCTGTTTCTGTGATTCTGTGATTCATATACATATTTCTGTACAGATTACATGGTTGGAGAACCGTGTCACAAAACGAAGCCTGGGTTTTGAAGGATAGCTGTGTTTCAGTTGGTATATTGCTTTGGAAAGTAAGAATGAGGTAGGTTCACACTGTACAGTGGTACCTTGGGTTACATACGCTTCAGGTTACATATGCTTCAGGTTACAGACTCCGCTAACCCAGAAATAGTACCTCGGCTTAAGAACTTTGCTTCAGGATGAGAACAGAAATTGTGCTCCAGCGGCGCGGCGGCAGCGGGAGGCCCCATTAGCTAAAGTGGTGCTTCAGGTTAAGAATGGACCTCTGGAACAAATTAACTTCTTAACCTGAGATAACACTGTACAGTGGTACCTCGGGTTAAGTACTTAATTCGTTCCGGAGGTCTGTTCTTAACCTGAAACTGTTCTTAACCTGAAGAACCACTTTAGCTAATGGGGCCTCCTGCTGTCGCGCCGCCGCTGCCGCCATGCAATTTCTGTTCTCACCCTGAAGCAAGTTCTTAACCCGAGGTACTATTTCTGGGTTAGCGGAGTCTGTAACCTGAAGCGTCTGTAACCTGAAGTGTCTGTAACCCGAGGTACCACTGTATTGATTTTTCTCCTCCATCCCTGTTCTATGCTTCTTGTTTATTTATTACCTCGAAGGTGTTCAGCTCAATGCTGTAATCTGTCGGACTGAAGTAGCCGGTGTGGCGGTCGGTTGAGCACTTCTCTCTGTGCAAGATTTAATTTATCTGATGTCTGCATGACAGATGTCAGTCAGGGTGCACTGGGGTGGGGTGGGACATAAGGCAAAGACAGGCTTGCCTCTAGAGCCTAGCAGTTCCGCTGAAGTTCATTCGAGTCCTCGCCAATGAGATCCCCTCGGAGCAACCTGCAGTCAAAGTCCAGTGAAGTCAATGAGATTATTAGCATTAGCTAAGATTAGTTGCCTGAGCAGACATTTGTGGGATCAGATCCTAAATTTACCTCTAATCTGCCTTTGCAGAAAGATGTACTTCATGATCTAGCCAATCGCCTCCTTAACTCCCATGATCTTATATCCCTGTGCTGCTGCTGTTGTGCTGCTAGACACAAAATAGGTATGAAATGTTGCAAACCTCAACTTTGAAGAAAGTGCCTGTTACTTAGAGGTAATAAATAGGAACTAAATTTACATTTCTTTCCCCCTGTCTTTTTGGTTGTTGTTGGAAGCAATTTGCATGTTATGCTGCTGGATCCTAAAGTAAAAGGAAATGTGCTTGACGCTAAAATTGGCTTCGTGGCTCCAGTTTCCTCAGCTCGGCACCACCTGCCTCTAATCAAACTGTCCAATTACTGGAAACAATTGTTTTCTTGCCTTCTGGGAAGTAAAGACTTTCCACCAGAAAAAAAATCCTGCTTTGCAAAATGTTCCTTTTTAACCAAGATGCTTTCATAACTTAAAATAAAATCAAATAGCACAATACTTGAATATGGGATGCAATTAGGGTTTGGATGGGAGGACCCTGTAGGACCGACAGCTTGGCTGTGCGAGATGGCACCGGGAATATGCAAGTGTTGCTAATAACAGCTGCAAAAATAGTCAGAGTATCCTGTCTAAAACCGGAGCAAAGCATCAAAGAGTTATCTAGGGTGTAAAAGCAAGATCAGAATGATGCTCCAATTAGTCCATATGCTAATAGGGCTGATTAATATAGGAAGGCTAAGTTTTCTGCTGCCTCTGTGTGAAAGGATAATCAAGGGCTCTCTTTGTATTGCAGATAACTCAGTGGAAATTTTGCTCAATATGTGTCAAGTGCCAAAGGCAGAGTTGTGTCAGCTGATGCAGCTCAGCTTTTTGTCGATGGCTCCCCCAGAGACACACACACTTTTGCCCTCTTGCATGATGGAATTAAAAACCTGCCTGGCTCGGATTGTGTGCCACGAAGGTAGAATCATGACATCTAGCACGAAATCCCAAGAACACAAGCAACTTAAAGCCATGTTGCTAGGCCACATGATGGTAGAGACAAATTTGAAAATGTGTCAGCAGTTTTAGTTTAAAATATAGGGGAAAGTGTATGTGTGTGTCTAAATGTGGTAAGCACAAGATGACAAAAGCACAGAGCCAGTTCATTTGGCAAGTAAGAATAAGAATAAGAATAATATTTATTTTATACTCCGCCTACCTAGTTGGGTTTCCCCAGCCACTCTGGGTGGCTTCCAGTACATATAAAAACATAGTAAAACATCAGACATTAAAAACTTCCTGATACTGGGCTGCCTTCAGATGTCTTCTAAAAGTCATGTAGTTCTTTATCACCTTGACATCTGATGGGAGGATATTCCACAGTGAGGGCACCGCTACCGAGAAGGCCCTCTACCTGGTGAGTATTATTTTGATTGGTGGGTGGTGCCATTGTTTCCAAGGTGATAGGTGTGGATAGTTATAGACGTCATTTCTTCTGCAGCTACTACACTTTCATCTTTGCCACTGGGAGGACGCAGGATCGCAATGAAGTTGCAGCACTGGCGTTGCTTTCGTGGAATGGTTGCCAGCAGCATACTAACTTTCCTTGCACCAGGTCCTTTCTTTACTAGAAACTTGCCTCTCTTTCCCTTTTTTAATTAAAACTGAAGCCTGAAAACAAAACGATCAGGACTGCTTTTTAAAAAATGAAGAGTGTGGATGTGTACTGAGGACACACACGGGCATTAGCTGTATTAGAAATATCAGCAGTCGGTGCTGAACTTGAATCACCAAGGAAGCATTAGGCTCACACAGCGGCAATGGAAATTATATACATTATATTCCATAAGGGTTTATCTTTATCCTTATGACTATTCCACCCCCACAGATCCATCCTTTCTAAAGCCCAAAATTGTGCAGCAACAATACCAGGGATTTATATATGTGTCGGTTGACATGTACTATTTAGCAACTTTTGTTTATCTCTTAAGAGATGGGGGTGGAAAGAGAGGCATTCTTCCTCGCGTATCTGAGCTTGTTTTAGTTACACTTGAGTGGCTAGACTTACTACATATGTGTGTGTGTGTGTGTGTGTGTGTGTGTGTGTTTGTTTGTGTGTTTATCTTTTGCAGGCAAGGACTGAACAGTTCACATACAACAATAAGGATTTCTGAAAGTCAAAATAATAAAAGCATTGGCAGCAACAAGGGTCAATAATAATGGGTTTAAATAATAAAAAGTATGTCCATTCAAAGCACTATACAAATGGAAGGGTAGACCGAAGTTGATAGAATTAGGGACTGCTCTACTTACTTTGAAGTATAGGCAGTAGGGTTTGCTTTTTGTTTTTTTAATCCCATGTAAGAAACTCCCTGCATGTAGTAAGCGAGTCCAAGAGAGAATATTTTTGCATAGCTTCTCTCTGTTATGCTAGTTTCCTATATGCACACTGAAAAATATGATCATTCCCCACCTACAGGCTGAAGTGTTACAGTTCAGAGTTCTGCCACTCCAGTCTATCACTTCATTCTGCATAATTAAGAATTTATTGATATTTTAAAATGGCATTCAAAGACCTTTTTTTTTTTTAACCGTGGCTTTTCGTGACTGACTGTCTGACAGCTCTGACAGTTTTTAGTTTGACTGTGTTATGTTGAGTATTTTGTCTACCTAGTGCCGGTTGTAATAATTTTGAATGTGCCTCCGTAGTGATGTCAACAAACATCAGAAGAGATAACCCTACAGCGACAACCTGTGTTGTGCACCTGATAACTAGATATGCTCTAAAAGGTATTAATTTGAGACTAATGAATTTAACACAGATATCTCAAGGAAGCTCAGTGTGGCTCTCTCATGTGACATTAAGACAGTGGATCACACAGTGCAAAGAAAAGAATAGAAAAAAGGACCCAAACAAAAGGCTAAAATATGGGGATTTTTTGCCTGGGGAAACTAGAGATGGGAGAACTGGTGTGTTCACCAAGTTTGGTCCTTATGGGTTTCTGGTTCTGTAAATTGTTCTTAGATTTGGGTGTCTTTGAAGAGCCCTTTTGGACCTTTGGGGCAGGGGAAGTGGGAGAGAGATGGGGGAAATCTAGAAATATACCTGTGCGCAGGTAGGCGTCATGGGCTGGCCACATGGCCCTATGGATCGTTTCTGAGCCAATCATGACTGCCAATCATGAATGAGTAGTCAACAGCTGATCTTTAGGAAGGAGTGTTATATGGAAAATGGGGTATAATGAATGCAACCAAAACATACATTGTCCTGAACTGTGCTTAATACATTCCACAGCTTAGACCCGGAATGCTGCCTTTCCCAGAAAATGCCAGGTTTCATCCTGAGACTTGTGATATAATAACAGAATGCCTCTGAGTACCTTTCCCCAGCTCTCTAACTGGGAAGTGTTCGTGAATCAAAGGGCTTGGTTTCCAGCCCATTGGTATGACCATCCCACCAGTTCTGAACAGAATAGCTAGCTGTATTGTGTGATGTATGGAACAAAAAATCATGGAAGTGGGACATGAAGTAATAATCACTTCAGTTCAGGCCTTGCAGAATGGTTATACACCAAACCAAGTGGAAAATTGTGATCTATTGGAGCTAGCAGATGCTTGTAAGTTTCTTCTTCATTCAATGTTTATATTTTATAGTAAGAGCAACTTATTTTAATAATTGTTAGAAGGGGTGGAAGCTGACCTATAGAATTTTGATGTCTATATGCACTGGCGTTGACACCTGCATAAGTTGTTCGACAAGCTTTTTTACATGGACAAATAGGGCAGAGAGAGAGAAATGCAAAACTGCATTGGCACGAACTTTATTAAGTAGGTTCTTTGTGGTAACATGCAGGAAGTGAAATTGTTTTCAGGTTGAAAGTATTTCTCAATTATTTCATGCACCAGTAATCTTTAAGGTTTAGGCTTGTTTGGTCTCCCTTTTAGTCATTGAAGTGAGATGAAGTTCCAGATGTCAAGGGGGAGATGGTGAAATTTCCCCTGGAACCCACAAGCTTCTACCTTCCCCTTCCTGTTGCTCAAGTTAGTAATGAAAGTTTCGGGCAAATGCCACATCTCTAAGTAGTTTGTTATTGGGTAGTTTTGTGGCGTTCGCTAGACCAGTCTGCGTGTCGTAAACCAAATGGGCTTTCCATCTCCCCACCGTCAAATAATGCTCAGCTGGCTTTCAGTTTTTGTCTGGCTCACTCAGTCAGTTTGAGACAGGGATGTCTGAATAAATCATTGCTGGGGGACTTGTGGCACTCTAGGTGTTTTTGGACTACTACTCCCATCATTCATTATCTTTGGTCATGTGAGTTGATGGTGGGTGTCGGGGTCCAGCAACCCCCAATCCTGGAGTAAATGCTTGGTGGTGTGGCCCAAAGGATAGGAACACAGAACACAGAAAGCCACCTGCAGTCGTGAAGGGATGCATACTTGTTTATTATTGATTTGACAAATGTCATTCCTTGCCTTTCAGCTCCAAGGAGCTCCCAGGGAAGGAAGAAGGATAGAAAAAGTTGGAAGGTTAGTGACACCCCCGTGCCCCCTGCCATAATATTCCAGCAGCATTAAAAACATGGAATAAAAGTTTAAAAGGCTTGGAGTAATAGAAAGAATGCAGCAAACCCTCCAACCTTTCTCCAATGAAAATAGGGACATCCTAAGGAAAAGTGGGATAAAATCAGAAATGGGGATGGCTTCTGTAAATCTAGGACTGTCCACTTGGCGGGTCTGAATACAGCCAGTTCAGCAGAGTTGGGGATCTGGATCTGGAACGCAACATAGGACAAATCCCTATCTGCCCACCTGCCACTCACCTGACAGCATTATGACACCAGGTGACCTGTTCTTGCTTGTGCATACAATCAGAATAGCCTTGAATAGCATTGCACACAAACGAGAGAGCAAGAATATTCCAGCAGCCTTAACAACACAGAATGAAAGTTTAAAAGGCTTGGAGGAAAACAATTTTTAATAATAATAATAATAATAATAATAATAATAATAATTTGTTCTGAAAAGACATAAGGTTCCGTAAACTTCTGTGTGGAGAGCATACTAAAGCATGCTACAACAAACCTTATTTTTGCAGTCCACCTTCTATGCATGTAACATGGTTTTTCAAAAAAATAAATAAATAAAAAATAAGTGACCGTAGAATTTCCTTCCATCCTAAGAGGAAACAGCAGCAGTGACTTATAGGAATGTGATCTGTTGGCACTGCAAACACAGAGGCTGAGCAAATATTTAGCATCAGGATCTTAAAGTGAGTTAAGCTGGCTCAATGTCTACGAGGTATTTACTTCCTTTTGTAGTTCCGTGTCATATCCTCATCATATAAATCCATTCCCTTAAGTTGGTGCAAACGTTTTCTGATCTTTTTTGTTTTGTTTGTTTATAGCCTGCTTGGAAATGTGGGTCATATACATCTCACCCAGATCCATTTGCTCTTTGCATCTCTATCTATATGGAGGTAGGGGAGAGGAACAAGCTGCTTACGATTTCTCAAGCTACCTCTGGTTTCGGCGCATCACATTTCCAGACAAAAGCTGAATTTAGGCTTACTTCAAAAAGCAAGTCGCTTAGTCCTGAGACCAGAAAGAGCAAGATTATGGAAGTCTCATACTGAGGTGTATTTTTGGGTAAACAGAAATGTAGAGTGTCAGTGCCCCAGGGTCGGTGTTGACTGGGGATTGGGCTGCATGGATACACTTCTGCTACTTACAGACCTTCCAAGTGTCCCTATTTTCCAGGGACAGTCCCAGATTTACAGACGCCATCCCCCTTTCTGTTTTGACCCCAGAATGTCCTGCTTTTACTTAGGATGTCCCTATGTTCATCAGAGAAATGTTGGAGGGTATGGAGTTGTGCATTCCCCAAGCCAAGGAGATATATAACCTTTAGAAGACACCTGAAAGCCGCCCTGTATAGGGAAGGTTTTTTTAATGTTTTATTACGTCTTTGTATATGTTGGAAGCCTTCTAGAGTGGCTGGAGAAACCCAGTCAGAAAGGCTGGGTATAGGTAATGAAATTATCATTATGGAATGTTGTTGTTGTTGTTTAGTCGTGTCTGACTCTTCGTGACCCCATGGACCAGAGCACGCCAGGCACTCCTGTCTTCCACTGCCTCCCACAGTTTGGCCAAACTCATGCTGGTAGCTTCGAGAACACTGTCCAACCATCTTGTCCTCTGTCGTCCCCTTCTCCTTGTGCCCTCCATCTTTCCCAACATCAGGGTCTTTTCCAGGGAGTCTTCTCTTCTCATGAGGTGGCCAAAGTATTGGAGCCTCAGCTTCAGGATCTGTCCTTCCAGGGCTGATTTCCTTCAGAATGGATAGGTTTGATCTTCTTGCAGTCCATGGGACTCTCAAGAGTCTCCTCCAGCACAAAAGCATCAATTCTTCGGCTATCAGCCTTCTTTATGGTCCAGCTCTCACTTCCATACACCACTACTGTGAAAACCATAGCTTTTTAATATACAGACCTTTGTTGGCAAGGTGATGTCTCTGCTTTTTAAGATGCTGTCTAGGTTTGTAATTGCTTTTCTCCCAAGAAGCAGGCGTCTTTTAATTTCATGACTGCTGTCACCATCTGCAGTGATCATGGAGCCCAAGAAAGTAAAATCTCTCACTGCCTCCATTTCTTCCCCTTCTATTTGCCAGGAGGTGATGGGCCCAGTGGCCATGATCTTCGTTTTTTTGATGTCAAGCTTCAGACCATATTTTGCGCTCTCCTCTTTCACCCTCATTAAAAGGTTCTTTAATTCCTCCTCACTTTCTGCCATCAAGGTTGTGTCATCTGCATATCTGAGGTTGTTGATATTTCTTCCGGCAATCTTAATTCCAGTTTGGGATTCATCCAGCCCAGCCTTTCGCATTATGGAATAGGACATCCCTATTTTCATTGGAGAAACGTTGGAGGGGATGCATCTCTGCAAAGTATTACATATGGCATCAGGTGTATGGGCAGGCAGGTGTCGTTTGGGGAATACAGCCTCATGGACAAAATTTGAACCCCTAAAAGACCAGGTGTGACTCATGGGCCAGAGTCTCCCCATCCTGGCTTAGTCTAACCCACTACCAAAATGCAGGACCTCACAGTCACAGCTCCCATGTAACAGATACACACTCAATGCAAATCTCATGAAAATATTTCAAATGTTTCCTGTTGGCTTCCATAGATTAGATGGATCCACAAATGTTGACATTATGCAAGCCGTTCTCAGTTTTGTGTCAGAAGAACAATGGTATGAATGTATAAACTTTTTGCAACAGTATTTCTTTTCTGCTCTGTAATTAACGCTTGCAGACGGTTTGGTTAGGTACATTATGAGCTGGTTGTAATATAAGAACACGAATGGAGTAATAAAGCAATGTGTATGTATGATGTGGTGCTCAGTTTACTGCCGGTTGAATTTTTTTAATCAAGTGTTTGACTAAAGAGAGCTCTAATGCCCTAAAATGAAAAAGATGTGTTTATTCCTCAGTCTTGGACTATGAAGGAGCAACAACAACAACAACAACAACATCGCCCCAAGTGTCTGCAAAATGATAAGTTGGCAAAATAAATATTTGGATGCTGACTGTAAAGAAGTCAAATGAATATTACTAGCGGTGCTTTGGGGATTTTGAAAAAACAAGAACAGCTAAGAAAACCCATTTCTCTAATGAGCACAGTTTGTGATTCAGAATCTGGTGGATTTTTGAGCCGCGTCCCCTGCGCTTTCAATACATGCTGCAACATCAAGTGATGGCACACATGATCTGATGCTTGTATTTTTTTGGGGAAGCCACCCAGAATGGCTGGGGAAGCCCAGACAGATGGGCGGGGTATAAATAATAAATAATAATAATAATAATAATAATAATTATTATTATTATTATTTAGTCGTGACTTTTACGTCCCCCTCAGCCCTGGGCTTTTTTAATGGAGCTCATTCACACGTTCAGCTGTCAATCATCAAGTGCAGAGAAATCAAGTGATTTATGTGAAACCTGCCCTTTAGAAAAGAACTGCGCTGTGTGGTTGCTTTTATACATATTTATCTCATCTATTTCATTGTTTTCACTTATTTATACGAAGAGCAATAACCAACATTCAACAATCCCACCCCCACCAGCAGAAGCACCAACTGCCAAAATGTTAGCGTTAAGCTTTGAAGCAAGGAACCAGTGGTCTTTGGGATGTCGTTGAGCTCCAGTTCCCATCGTAGCTGACCACCGGCTGTGCTGTTTGGAGCTGAGGGGAGACGGTAGAAGAAGAAGAAGAAGAGTTTGGATTTGATATCCCGCCTTTCACTCCCTTTAAGGAGTCTCAAAGCGGCTAACATTCTCCTTTCCCTTCCTCCCCCACAACAAACACTCTGTGAGGTGAGTGGGGCTGAGAGACTTCAAAGAAGTGTGACTGGCCCAAGGTCACCCAGCAGCTGCATGTGGAGGAGCGGAGACGCAAACCCGGTTCACCAGATTACGAATCTACCACTCTTAACCACTACACCACACTGGCTCTCATACCCAACAACCCTTGTAAGGCTGACAGCTCCCAGTCCTAAATAGCTTAGGGCCACATCATACATTTAAAGCACCTCCTCCTGGGAACTGCAATTTGTTAAGGGGAATTGTAGCTGTGTGAGAGGCAGAGCTCCCCCCCCCCCCACAGCTGGAACTCAGTTCTGGCACCTCTCAGATGGGCGCCATTGCCAGTACAGTGGTACCTTGGTTTAAGAACATCTAAGTTTAAGAACAACTTGGGTTAAGAATGCTGCAAACCCGGAAGTAGGTGTTTTGGTTTGTGAACTTTGCCTTGGAAGCAGAACATGTTCTGCTTCCTGTTTGTTCAGTGTGTTCCATTTGTAAATTGAGTCCCCTGCTGCTATGGGAAAGCACACCTTGGTTTAAGAACGCTTTGGTTTAAGAATGAACTTCCGGAATGGATTAAGTTCGTAAACCAAGGTAACACTGTATAAGAGAACAAGAGAGGTGTTCATGGTGAGTTCTGGCATCCCTTTTTAATAGCACTGGTGAGAGGTAAACTATAGTTCCCAGGTTTCTCGTGTGCGTGTGCGTGCGTGCTTTAAATGTGTACACAGCACAGTGGCTTCCATGATACTCCACATCTCCAATCATTCTTCGTAGCATTTGCATGTCCTGGCAACCAAGGGGAAACCACTTGCAGATGAAGGATCCCTCCATGGGTATAGCAGAATTCTTGCAGCTGTACAAGATGAGGTTAAGTGCGGGAGACCCACCCTCAAAGCCAAGGCACGGTGACAGGTGTTGGGAGGGGGGAGGTCAGAATGTGGACATGAAGTCTTTGAGGAGGAGAGGAAGGAGTAGATTGTGAGCATTGTAAAGCTGCCCACTACAAGGACATGGACTGAATAAGGAGATTGTTATTAAAAAAAAAAAAAAGCTTCTGTAATCGATAGGGTGTATCTGTTGGAAAGGTCTGCATTGTAAGGGAGAAAGAAATACTGCAGTGAGATCTTCTCGCAGGTGGAAGCCAAGTGTTCAAAGAAAAGGGTCTTTCAGCACCTGCTTTCGTTATCTAACCTTTGCAAGTTGGCATTAACAAGTTCCTGTTTATCCTTCTGCTGCAATCGCCGCTGCTTCTTGAAGGAGCCGACCATGAGAGGGATCTTTTATATGCCAGGTTTCCATTAATGGGCAATTGGCCTTAGATTTTATGGCACTGAGTAGCACTTCCTTCTTTAGTGTCTCTCTCCCTCTCTCCCCTCCCCTGTTCGCATGTTTTGGGGATATATTTCCATAGGAAAGTTGATAAGTATACATAGACTGGGCAAGTTGTTGATAGAATTTTTTTCCTTCACTTTTCACAATACATTTATAAGAGAACGAAGTGATTTATGAGAAATAAAGAAAAGAAAGAAACCAAAAGAAAGAAGAAACTGAAAAAGAAACTACAAATTCCTCTTTCACTGCTCTAAACTTTCATCCCTGCAGAGGAAGGTGTGTCCTGCAAGCTCTCACCTGAGCCCATCCACTCTTCTCCCAACCTCCCAGCCTGCGAGATCTCCCCTTCACGGTCCTCAGACTGTCCTTCCAACTTCATCTGTATACAGTTCTTACCAATACAGTTATTGGTAAGTAATTGTTGTTGTTGTTGTTTCTTCTTTTGAAAAAACCAAGACCACACTGGAATCGTGGAAGACCAGTGTTAACTAAAGCCCAAGGTGCCGCACAATGCAAACAGGAACACCAGGGACTTTTATTTCTCTCGCCTGAGCAGCTTGCTTAGCAATATCCTCGGGTGACATTTTTGCAAGGGGTCATGGGACCTTGGAGCGATGCCAGCAGCAGCATTGGAAACTTGGCTCACTAATTACTCCCACTGCCTTTCCCTCTCCTACCCCACCCCACCTCTCTCTCTCTCTCTCTCTCTCTCTCTCTCTCTCTCTCTCCTCAGTTCAGGTAGTGAAACCAATATGTTTCAACATGTTCTGGCATGTGAGTTCCTTTTGAGGCCTGCTCTCTCTCCCCTCACACACAACTCACACACACACAGAGAAAGAACCCATGCAGAATACTACAAATAACAAAAAGCTCTCTCTGTACTCAGCAGTGCACCACTGCAGGTGCAGAATGTGTCCCAGCAGCGTGGGTGTGTTGAGATAAGCAAACTTCCACTTTTTTGGGGGTGGGGGTGGTTTGGTTGCTCACACTGAGGCAATTCTTTCTGAGCTGTGCATGCATAGCAGTGAAATCTGAAGGTTATGGGGGTGGGAATTTTGGATATGAGTGAAATGGCAACTCAGGACTGACTCAGGGGTGTTTTTCTTTGAAAAGTAGTTTGGAAGAGGGAGCAAAAGTTTGTTTGCTTCTCTTCTTTTTCTTTTTTTAAAAAATACTCATGAGGTAATCTAATCTCCTCCCTCACCTGCAGGTGCAACAGGGATGGCTCACAATATACAAAAAGGAGGAAATTCCTTGTTGACACAGGTGATCGGTGCTAAGTGGCCAAAATTGATAGAATAATATCAGTGCTCTCCAGCTACCAAAAGCTGCCAATTTCAACCTACCACAGTGAGGCTGCTTTCTCCAGCTCTGTGTTCCACAGGAAGGTGATTCTACAGCTTCTTTTCTTGGGGGAGATGAAGACTTTGAAGAGAGTTTGGATTTTATATCCTGCTTTATCACTACCTGAAGGAGTCTCAAAGCGGCTAACATTCTCCTTTCCCTTCCTCCCCCAGAACAAACACTCTGTGAGGTGAGTGGGGCTGAGAGACTTCAAAGAAGTGTGACTAGCCCAAGGTCACCCAGCAGCTGCATGTGGAGGAGCGGAGACGCAAACCTGGTTCACCAGCTTACGAATCTATCGCTCTTAACCACTACACCAATTATAGCTAATTTCTTACTCCTCATGAATGCTCTGATCCCTGAATGCAATGTGCTGTACAGTGCAATGCAATGCAATGCAATGCAATGTGAGAGACACTAGGCCTGCTAGGTTTGATGGACCATAGGGGGAGCATGGAGAGAGGAGAGGAAGGGGGATTCCCATTGCAAAGGCAGAAATTCTTGCACAAATGGGACAGCAGTGTTGGCTATAACACTGTGAAATGCGAATGGTAGCAGTAAGTCTGCTGCATTTCTATGTGAAGTTAAAATACATACAGATAAGAACAGCTTTACCTCACTATTTACAGGCACCCATGTAATCTACTATTGCACCCATGTAATGTACTAACCGCAGAAAGGGGCGCAGGGGGCATCTAAGCCACTGAGCCTCTTGGACTTGCTGATTGTAAGGTCAGCAGTTCAAATCTACATGACGGGAGTTGCTCTGTCCCAGAAGTTTGAAAGCATACCAGCACGAGTAGATAAATAGGTACCGCTGCAGCGGGAAGGTGCACTCTGGCACTTGTCACGGTGTCCTGTTGTGCCAGAAGCAGTTTAGTCATGCTGGCCACATGACCCAGAAAACTGTATGTGGTCAAACGCCGGCTCCCTCGGCCTAAAGCAAGATGAGTGCCGCACCCCATAGTCGCCTTTGACTGGACTCAGCTGTCCAGGGGTCCTTTACCTTTACCTACCTTTTGTCTACCACAACTTCACGCTCATGCTGAACTACTGTAGTAGTTCCATGAAGAGAAGTGTTTAAGGAGGTCACAAGGACTCTCGGTTGTGTGTTATGCTAATATCTGTTGATCCATATTGTGAGCTGGTTGGTTTATGGTTTTACTATTTAATGACACGGTCAGGCAGATAGATGCCCTGAGCAGGTCTGTTGATGGAGATGTATGCTGGACTCACCTGTTAGAGAGTTGGGTTTCTCAGACTCTGGTAGTAAAGAAAACACTCATCACTTCCACAAGTATAATTAGATAAAACAAACAAACTTGTACAGTAGATTGGCCTCTCATCCGGGGCCTTGAGGCAGGTATATCAAGCCATGTGACATGCAGGTAGTGTTACAATCTATTGTTTGTTCTAAATCTCAGCCTCAGGGAACAGGCAATTAAAGATAAACATAGCCCAGGCATAAAATAAAAAGAGCATCCTGGCCAGGCCAGTCAAAAGATCAACCAGGTGCGGAGTGATAAAAAGTCTTTGAATTGTTGCACCCCAGGTGACTGGCAATTGTGCTTGCTCCCTCTCTCTTTTCTCCTCCTAGCATTAAGAAGCATTAATGTCTGAGGACATAGTTAGTCCCTCTTCAAACTGCTTGTGGGTAAAGTGCTATAGCTCAGTGGTAAATCACATACTTAGTATATATATAAGGTCCCAACTTTGATCTCTGGCACCTTGAAAAAGGACTGAAAAGGACTCCTGTCTAAAGTCATGGAAAGCCACTACCAGTCAGCATGGACATTCTATGTCACCTCAGTCTCCAAGCCCTCACCTAGGGTTTGGTTTCCTTGGAATGAAGGCCAGCAGAGACTGTGGTGTCCTTAGGATATATGGTTATATTTATACATATATACAACCTGAGCATAGGGTAAGAAGGGGCTCACAGCATTAATACATCAATTGAACTTGCTTCCCCAGTCAGATTCCATGAGAAGCCCTGATTCCAGTTTAGGGCTCAGCAGAAGGTTGAAACATGTCCTCTACCTGCAGCTTCTAGCTTGCTTCCAGATTGAAACCTACCCACCTTGGCTATCATTCTCCTTGTAGCAGCTAGGTGAGCAGTGTTGGGGGGAAGGCCCATCAATTTGTTCTATGGCACAGAGCAACTTCTTTGTGCTAAATTGTGGTCCTTAACTAGCTAGCCAAGCTAGTTGGCAAAGGGATTTGGTTTGGTAAGCTTGGGATACAGGATCCCAAGAATTGGAAGGGACCTAAGATACCAGCCAGACCAACCGACTCCCCCCCTTGCCGCCCAATTCATAACAGTACTGAATTAGATGGTCTGACTGGGCACAAAGCACTGCTCATCCTGACCCATACATTCATAAGCATACATAAAATTTAAGGTGGCAGGAGATGCAGCAGGAGTTTAGAAGATGCTGTGGTGTCTTCCAGGAAGTCCATGTGTGTTGCTGCAAGAAACAACAGGTTGTGTTCAGCTTAGTTGCTTGAAGGATGGAGGGAGATTGTATTCAGCAGATGTCACACCACCAATAAAGAATGGCTAAACTAGAGCAACTGCCTGGATTTAATTTTTTGAAGGTAGGTTGGGGCGAACATGAGAAAACAATGTACTTATTCATAGTTTCTGTTTCTGATATAAAGTGGTCTACATACCCTTTAGTATCCAATTAGCATCATGGCTGCATGGACCATACCACATCAATAATAAAGGGCTTATCAAAATGACTCATTTGGGAAAGATGGTTATCTCAAGTTCCCCTTCTCTACCTCATACTGTCCCTTGAGATTTGAATCATCAGTTCTCTTTTGTGGTTGATATAAAGGTCCTCTGGGGTTGGTGAGTTATTGTTTACATGGGATTTTTTCATGATAAATATCACAGAACTTTTTAATGGTGAGGCTGTTTCAACAGAACAGTTTATAGCACGATGCTATTTCTCATTGCAGACTGGTCTCCTTTGAGGGGGTGAGGGGCATGCTGGGACATTTATGGGTCCATAAATGCAGACAATAAATGAGCACCAAATAAAACCCAACTTTAAGAAGCTGCTACAGCAGTTTCTAGGTGCCCTCTCCATGTCCCACAGTCCTCCTGTGAACATTAGGCCTCAGCATCATAAGAGTTTCCTCAATACTTGTTAGCAACTGTTCACACCAATCAGGCAAGAGTGTCCGTTTCCACAAGCAGAGCTGAAACAGTGTACATCACACTTTGCAATGCTCAAGTAGTTCACTTCAGTAGTCAATAGTCATTGCACATTACACAAGTTGGTAAGTTGTGCCTACATTATGAGCAAGGCCATGCATTAGTCATGTATGTATTTATAGCTTTGTGAGTCTTAAGCTCAGGGTCGTGGGTTCAAGCCCCATGTTGGGCAAAAGATTCCTGCATCTCTCTCTCTCTCTCTTCATCATAGTCATTAAGAAGGGTAAATCCAATTTAAAAATCACTATTCTGTAATATTATAAAAGCCGTTTTCTGGATTAGCTACTTCTTGGCATCCTTAACTACTTATTTTAACTGAAGTAACCTAAAGGTTACTGTGGGTTAAACCACAGAGCCTAGGACTTGCTGATCAGAAGGTCAGCGGTTCGAATCCCCATGACTGGGTGAGCTCCCGTTGCTTGGTCCCAGCTACTGCCAACCTAGCAGTTCGAAAGCACATCAAAGTGCAAGTAGATAAATAGGTACCGCTTTGGAGGGAAGGTAAATGACGTTTCTGTGTGCTGCTCTGCTTCGCCAGAAGCAGCTTAGTCATGCTGGCCACATGACCCGGAAGCTGTACGCCGGCTCCCTCGGCCAATAAAGCGAGATGAGCGCTGCAACAGTATCAGAACCACCTAACACTTGCCAATGTGAACTTATATGTATGGATTAAAATCACAGCTATTAAATCATTTTTTTCAGTGGGTGAACGGACAGCCCCTGCCCCCCACATTTACTTTGACTGCATGAGCAGGGGAGGAGTGTAAACACGTATGGCTCTCAGCAGCCCACTTATGAAGTATTGCAAGCATGCAGTTAAATCTGTTATTCTCTATTTTTATGACTTTGCCAGGCTCAACATTCATTTGAAAAGAACAAGGGATCCGATCCTGTATACATGTAGACATAGAAGCCTTGTAAGAGAAGGAAAAGAATAAGACGACTAATTCAATCCTGCCCCCCATGCATTTGGACCTCCTAGATTTGAAAATGATTGTTCTTAAAATGTTCAGTCCAGTTGTCTAGGGTATGATTCTGATTTAGAATTCCAAGCTTGTCCTCCAAAATGCTTGCAATTCCACACAAGTTTTTCTAGGTTATTAGTAGAATAATATTCTGTAGCCATCCAGCAAAATCATGATTAACTGCGACAGCGCTTTGCAGAGTTCCACTTGATATCCCTGTCCAACCTAATAATCACTCTTTTGAGTAGGGTTCATCCACTAATTTGTTGCCTATATTTTAGTGCTTTGATATTGATATCTTGGCATGTTTCAATTTTCATATAAATATCTAGAGAGAGAGAAAAAAAGTCATAGGACTGGTTCACATACACATATACTTTGCTTGATCCCATCAGCTGATTTATCGCTACTTGATGTGTGAAATATTCACACTGGAAAATTTAAACTGTTGTCGTTTGCAGTACACAAAAAGAAAGTCCCTCTGAATTCAATGGGAAGCACACACTTGTTACGGTGCTTAGGATCTGCACATGCAAACCATCACTGGATGTGTGTTTCAATTGGCAATGAACATTCTTGTGAGAACCAGCTGGGGAGTGGAATATCTGCTACAACCGCAGGCATTTGAAATCTTAGTCCTGAACACAAAAAAGCCATTTCAAGTAAGCAAACCAAAGTCCTTCCTGAGCTTAAAGTTTAGGAAGGCCCTGGGATTCCATGGCTAGAACATTGTGGGAAGTTAAAGAACTTCATACTCATCTAAAGTCTGAATTTGCCCATAGTGGCTGGGGAAACCCAGCCAGATGTGCAGGGTATAAATAAAATCATCATCCTCATTCATCATCATCACCATCATCTTCACTTGACCTGCTCCATCCCCACTCACCTGATAATCTTTTACCTGGTCTCCTCTGGTGAATAATATTTGGCCACCAGGTGACTAGACAGGCAAGCTTCACAATTCTCTCTCCCTACTCCCTGTTTTTTTAAGCACAAAAATGACTCGTCATATTTGTTCTTCCATGCCTTTGCTCTTAATAGACAAAACATAACGTATATTGTCGGGGAGACTTTGGCAAGAAAACATCACTTTCCTTGGCCCTGAATGTCAAGCTCAAACCGAGCATTAAATCTTATAAACAATGATATGACAAAGACATTCCTCCCTCTTGCTGTTTTTATTACAGTATTGTCAGGCTACAATTTATTGTCTGCATTGTTATACAAAGCAAGTATCTCAAAGCAGTTTAATAACATAAATTAATTTAGGCCTGTATTTCAAAAATTCTGTGAGTTAAATTTCAGTGTTAGTTGTTGAGACATCCACTCCCCCTCCACTTTCCCCTGGAATTTGATTACAAGGAATAAGTTGTATTGTATTGAGGGGGGTCCCTGAAGTTTATTCCTTGCTTAATTGTCAGTTGTTTCTTAGAAGCATTTGGAACTGGAGTTCATGTTTTGTGAGAGCCAAATTCATGGACAGTATATAGGCCCAGCACATGAGAGCCTGCGTGGTGTAGTGGTTAAGAGCGGTGGACTTGTAATCTGGTGAACTGGGTTTGATTCCCTGCTCCTCTACATGCAGCTGCTGGGTGACCTTGGGCTAGTCACACTTCTCTGAAGTCTCTCAGCCTCACTCACCTCACAGAGTGTTTGTTGTGGGGGAGGAAGGGAAAGGAGAATGTTAGCCGCTTTGAGACTCCTTCGGGTAGTGATAAAGCGGGATATCAAATCCAAACTCTTCTTCTTATAACTTGAAATACATTGGGCCTCAATATATTTGTGGCCTCTGACATGCATCCCTCCTTTGTTGCTATGCTGATGTATCTCCTCTCTGCCCCCCACCCCCTAATTATTTAGAACTTCCCACTACAGAACATCATGTTTCATCTCTCATCAACCAGCAATCACGGATGGCAATAAAGCTGCTCCTCCGCAGGCAAGTAGAAGTTGAACAACTGCTGAAGTTTTTCTCCATTGCCGCAGTTTTCTCCATGCCAGGAAAAGTCATGTTGCTTGCTCATGCAAATTAGAAGTGAAAGCGTGGAAGGCATGGAGGTCAACATTAGATGGCGCTGGAGCCAATGACAAGGGGAGCTAACTAATTCTAGTTTTGTCTTGATCTTCCTCTCTGTTGAGTTCTATACAGCCAACAGTGAGAATAAGGAGGATGAAGCTCGTAGGCAGTGACAGGCCCCTAGGTAGTTTGTAAATAAGAAGGAAGGCAGGTTAGGTAGCTAGCTGAGGACAAATCAAGGTGATAGGACACCAACCCATCTGCCTTCATTGACCAACCTCAACTAGTTCCTTGAAATTCTTTCAGGTAATGATTTAAGCATGCAGGAGCCATGTCAGGAAAAGGTAAGAAGCTGAGCGTTATGAGCAGTAGCGTTCATCATTGCAACATGTGCTAGATGAAAATTTGCAGTCTCAGCAGTGTGCTCTCCCAATAACAAAGAACAAATTGCGGGGGATCATGGCCACATGGACAGAGTTCCTCCTGGATTTTCAGGGGACTAATTTCTAACTGGACAGAACCTTAAAATAGCAAACTGTCCAGAATAACAGGGGACACCTGGCCAATGTATTTCTAGATCTACCTGGAGATGCCAAACATTGGGCCTGCAACTTTCTGTATGCAAAGCATGTGCTCTACCGCTGAGCGATAGAACTGCCCCAAACTTCTTACCAAGCGTGAAGAAATGGAGTTGGTTGGATAGGCCCAGCCCTGCAGAAATCCAAGCATCTACAACAGGGGCATTGGGTCAAGCTGGTAACTGGCCCATCTATCTGCTATTACCTTCCTAAACTGAGCTATGGAGTCTCCACTCTTGGAAACTGGCTCCAGGAGTCTAGCAGTGCCCCACTGCTGTGTTTTCTGCCCTGCATGCAGAGCAACAGTTTGCCAGCAATTTGCAAAATTAAAGTTAGAACAAACAGTTTGTTCAGGTGGAGCCATTAAATCTGCTGCTGTTGCAGGTCTCAAAACTACTGGAAGTAGTGAAAGCTGGAAGGAGATTTGGAATAGATCGCCCAATAAACTGGTGTATTTATTTACATTGGCATGGTTTTCTGCTGTAGGGAACCCTGTTCCAAGAGGTGTTAGTCTGGGCATGGTCAGCACTGGCATAGAGTTTACATAAAATGAAGATTCGGGAGATTACTGGGCACAAGAACAGGCTTCAGGAACATTATAAATGTTAAAGCACTTAAGAATGTTAAGCCAGCAAGATTGCCGTTTGCTCTGAGCATTCTAAACACCTCTTTCGAAAAGAGAATTTTGGCATTTGTTCTGGAACGGCCAAGACAGTGTCTCATTGTCCTCAGGGACTGGGCTGTGAGATGGCCGGCAGCCACTGATGATATGTTTGGCAGAGACCTCTATAGTTTTCAGAGACCAATTGTTTGCTAGGACCCAACATTGCCACTGTTCAAGCTGTGAACCAAACTACGTGAAGACAGAAATCCCACGTTAACCCCAGAAGCTCAGCCATCGTTGTTGAGCTAAACTGCTCCACTTGCCCCCTTTGTCTGTCTTCTGCTGGCATTGAATGCGGCACACACTTAGCAGAGCCTCTTTCCAACATGATTCATTGGAGGGGGGGTCTCTCGCTCACCCCAGTTCCTTGCACAACTGCTTCACATACTGCTGGAATTATTATACTGGTTCAATATGTTCGAGAGTACACAATGGCATATGTCCTCTCAGAGACTGTTCTTTAATTATTATTTTTAAATTATGTTCCCCATGCCCTGTGCTTGCATGTAAACTGACTACAAAGGTTTGAAAGAGCTGAAGCTGGTTTGTGCCTGGTGTATTTTGCAAGATCAGGTCCAATACTAATAAGAAGCAGGTATTCAGAAACTTTAAAAAACCCCTATCTGCTGATAAATGATGATACCCAACCTGCAAATATATTCCAGGAACCTAGCTATTAATGATAAGATGGGGAGTACGGAGGAGAAATGATTCTGAGGAGATATGGAAGGTTTGCAGAATTCGTACTGTTAAAATGGAAAGGGGTCAAACCATCGCAAGAGATGTTGACATTTTGGGAAGTTGAATAGTTACAATGGAGTGGTCTTGGGGATGGGGGTGCATGTTTTTATTTAATATTATTGCTTTGTTTAAAATTTAACAAATAAAGTATTTCGGGAAATCTTAGCAAGAGGTCACTGAGTCCACATTGCCACAGTGAAGGAGAACAAACATAGAAAAAGGTAACTGCTACATAAAGGTTCCCAGTTTTGAACATTTCTCTTCCATTTGTCAACTGAGCAAAAAAAAAAAAAAAAAGGTAAAAAAAAGTGGGGGTACTTAAGGTACAGTACAATAATTAAAAACCAATACATATAATAAAATTATTAATCACCATGGAACAATTAGTTCAAAAGCAGGAGAACAGAGATAAAAACTAGAACTAGGTTAGGATTAACACGCCAACATCCCTAAGAAGGAAATTTCCAAAGTGCTGGACTTTTTAGTTTAGGGAGCAAGCGGGGGAAAGGCAACAGAGGGAGATAAGATGGTGATTATGTATGGCATGGAGAAAGGGGAAAGAGACACGTTTTCCTCCCCCTCGTAATACCAGAACTCGGGGTCATCCAATGAAATTGGAGGAGATTCAGACAAAAGGAGATTCTGGACAGAACAGCACACAGCTAATTTATGGAATTCACTTTCACAAGATGAGGTGATGGCCAGCAGTTTAGATGGCTTTAAAATGAGCTTAGGCATATTTGTGGAGCAGGGGTGGGTGGGGAATCTGTCAAAGGCTACTACTAATGCTTATTTGTCATATCATATGCTTTCTTCAGGGTTAAAGGCAGTGTGAGAGGGCTGCTGCTTTCACGTCCTACTTGTGGACATGTGGGAAGCAGAATGCTGGGTTAGATGAATCTCTGGTCTGATCCAACAAGTAAAACAGGAGATTTAAAAGCCTAGCGAGGGGTGCGGAACCTGTGACCCTCCAGGCATTGTTGAACTCCAACTCCCATCTGCCCTGACCACTGGCCTTGCTGGCTGGGGTTGATGGGAATGTGAACGAGCATCATCTTGAGGACCAGTTTCTCCAACTCTGGCTAAAAGGTGCCAAGAAGGACATCAGTGGCACTGCCAGGTTAGCTTCACTGGATAGTGCATCCCAGAGATGAGATGCCACCACTGAAAAGGCCCCGTCTTGGGTCACTACTTGTGTCATCTTTGATGCCAGAGGTATCTGAGGAAGATTTCCTAACATCTGGGCAGGGGGGCAAATTAGAAGTCAGCAGTCCTTAAGGCATGTACCAGAAGAACATGCATGTGCCTAAACATTGCATTGCAAGATAAGATCCCAACGCACCCTGATAACTTAGGGTTTTTATCTCTGCCTTGTACATGTTGCAATTTTACCTCTGGCTACCTAGCCTAGCTAATAAATACTATGTGTGTTGTAATATAGGTGAGGAGCCTTTGTCATAAACAATCTAGCCCATCTAGTCAGAGAGACTGACCAGGTGCCTATGGGAATCCTGCAAGGCAGGCATTAGCAGAACAGCACTCTGCACATCTGCAGTTCCCAGCAGCTGGCATTCAGAGGCACGATGCCTCCAATCCTGCTGGTGGATCATGCCCATCATGGCTACTAGCCCTTGATAGCCTTGTCCTCAAAGAATTTGTCTACTCCTCTTTTAAAGCCATCCAATTTGCTGGCCAACACTGCATCCTATGCAAGTTCCATAGCTTAACTATGGGCTCTGATGTCGCCAGCCCATAACTTGTCCTCATTAGTAGGTCAATGGTCAGGTAAGTCTTCTAATAAGAAAAATAAAATCTGCTCGGGGGAAAAAAACACAGAGAGAGAAATCAGAATGCTAGTGGATCAACATGTTTACAAACTTAGGCTGGGACCGAAAATCTCTTTCCACCCTCAGTTTATTGAATATAGTTTCCCCTCTGAAAATGGAGGCTGCTTTTTTGCTGGGGAAGAACTATTTCAGGTGTGTGTGTGTGGGGGGGGTGCTGCTTCCCTTTTGGGATATTCTCAGGGTGTGTAGCCAGTGGTAGAAGGAGTTGCTGGCTACCAGCTGTAGAAAGAGCAACCCAATATTACAAGCAGTGTGCAGCTTTTTTTAACATTAGGAAATGTGAGGGGCAAAGGGAATGGAAAACCTATGACCACTTCATTAGGTTAAGCATGATAAGTAATAGTGGTACCTTGGGTTAAGTACTTAATTCGTTCCGGAGGTCCGTTTCTGTTCTTAACCTGAAATTGTTCTTAACCTGAAGCACCACTTTAGCTAATGGGGCCTCCTGCTGCTGCCGCGCCGCCAGAGCACGATTTCAGTTCTCAGCCTGAATCAAAGTTCTTAACCTGAGGTAATATTTCTGGGTTAGCAGAGTCTGTAACCTGAAGCGTATGTAACCTGAAGCGTATGTAACCCGAGGTACCACTGTAACCCTCTTCCTTGATTTTTTTGGCAGGGCTTCCCTTGAACTGTACCCACCCACTAAATGGTTGTTTGTTTGTTTTTAAAGGGATTTTCCAAAATTGCAGTGACGCCAGACTAAACGCTTATCATTGTGGCTGAAGGCATTGCCTGAGACTGGGAAGGAGAAAATGACTGTCAACTGACCAGGGGGAAAAATGATGACCCGGTCTGCTTCTGTGCCTTTACAAGCATCTTGGCATGTTGTAGCGGATGTGCTTTCCATGGCATGGTATAAGTTTTTATCGCCTGCTAATTCCTTTAGATGAAGCTGCTGTTGAAAGAACAGCAGGGTCTGGCAAAAGAGTTGGCAACCCTAAAGAAAACCCTTTGTTTTTGCTCCGCATATGGAGCAGGTCACTAATATCAAAAGAACTTTTAACTTGAAAGGCGCTTAGTTTGGCTGCCCTTGTTTTTGAGAAAGAGGCAAGCCCGAGAATGACTTGAAGGTTTCCCACAGTAAATACATTATAGGCGGGTTTCATAGGCTACTGAGACCTTTATACTTCCACCTGCACATTATGGCTCTAATAAACACATTATCAGGTCATGAAAATGATGGCAAACATGTGACTGGAGGATCTGATAAGTCAGAAGCAAAGATTAGCAGGTCCTCATCTCTCTCTCCCCTGCCCCTCCCTTCTCACGGAAAAAAAAAGCTGCAAGAGATTCCCTTATTTAAAACAATTGCAGCATGTGGATTTACTGCACTTAAATCATTACTGGCAATTAGCACGTGTCAGAAGGTTGCAGCTGGCTCCAATTACAGGTAAGATTTTAGAGATTTGAACTTAATTGTATGCATGATAGTGGGAGGCTGGGGGCCACATGCCAGAATAAATGGGATCACACCTCTTTGAAATGGGAATGTTACCACCTTTATCATTTTCACTTGACTTTTGTCCTTCAGGAGGGGGAGGAAATGGAGAACTAAACTCCCAGCACCATTTCTGTGTCCCCCCTCCCTCCCCAGTTAACGGAGTGTACCTATCCAGGCACGATAAAGAATGAGAGTTTCTTATCAATAATAATTTGGAGCCTACCTACTTCCTGTTACCCCTTTTGCCTGAGGGCTTCTGATAAGCGCAAACGACATGATGGCAAAACTTTGGCCAACTTCACAACTGGCACTTGAAGTGTTGTTTAGGAATTAAAACTAAGGCCTCTCCCTGCCCCACTCTACCCGATTTCAAGTTTCACCATTTTTGGTTGCCAAGTCGAGTGCAATTTTTTAAAAAATGGGCATGATCCAAAATGGAAGCCAATTGTTGCTTAATGTTCTGTGGATTGTGGTGTGTGTGTTCTTGTTTGATAAAAAATAATCTCACTTTCTCTCTCCCTTGCTTGCGTTTGGTGATCATGAGAACACGAGGAGCCCTATGGGAGCAGTCCAACAAGTCCATCAAGATCAACCTCCTCTGTCCCATGGCCAATCAGCTGCTTCTCCAGGAAACCCATAGGAAGGATATAAAGACAATAGCCCTCTGTGGCAACTGGTATTCAGAGAAGCATGTTGCTCCTTCTGATCCTGCACGTAGCATATAGCTCTTATGGTGAGTTCACCCAGTTGCCTTTTAAAGCTACCTAAATTGGGGGCCATCAACACACCTTGCGATTCTGAAGTTTAAATATACAGGGAGGAATTCAACATCGCGTGCTTGTTCCATAAGGGCAAGCATTTTGGCTTGACAGATAGACCGATCCCCACCCTCTCCTTCCCTATTCACTGTCCTGAGGGTTGTCCTGAACCCCTCCCTGAACCAACTGGGGTGGCATGGAGAGAGATGAGAAGGGGGAAAGCCCACCGCACAATCAGAATCCCACCTTTTGCCTACCCTTAATCCGCCAATGTGCACCTCCACGGAATGGTCCCCAATCCAGCAGGATGCTAGGGTTGATAGTATTGAAAATCCATGAGAGGTCCAGAAAATCAACAGCTACACTCTTACTTGAGCAATAACTGTCCAACAGGGCAATGGTTGCTTCAGTCCCCAATCCGCATCTGATTCAAGATTGGTAGTGGCCTGGGTCAGTAATGAGGTACCTGTGGCCTGGGGATCATTGGTCTTGCTGGCAGGGACAGCTGAATATTGGAGTCTAACAACATCTGGAGGGACACATGTTCCCTGTCACTCGTCTAAGCAATCTGTTTCATCCTGGAATTGAGCAGACAAGCATCTTCTGCTCAAGTACCATGCTCTTCAAAAGGATATTTGTCACTGACTGTTCAGGTCCAGAAAGAGTTTCTTCTTCATCATGAACACTTCCCTCAATGTGACTGGGACCATGTTCTTCAAGAAGGCATTAATTACCTTCTACCCTCCCATGAAGACAGAATAAGGCAGAATGGGCAGACGTGGAGCAAATAATGTTAGCCCAAACACCATTGCACACATGAACAAGATGGTTGGCTGGTTGGCTTGGGGGTATTTTGATTCTTTTAGTAGTTAGAATTTAGCTACTATTATTATACAGTTCAGTCAGGTATTCAACAAAGTGGCTGTCAAAGACAGTGTTGATATCCTCCATAAACATCAAGGATTTAGCAAATTCTGTGAGCCAGTGAGGGCTTGCAACCAATTCACACATTTATTTTTGAGGTAGTTATGTTCTCACATGCGGGGACTTTTTACTGCCTCATTTTTTACATGTTGAGCGGCTTGTGTGTGAGAGCCGTATCCTAATTTGGGGGCAAGGAAGAGAGGAAAAGTACAAAGCCAGGGAAAATGTTTGAAAATGAGTCCTTTGTTTTTTCAGCCACCTCATGCTAACGGTTCTTCATGTGAAAATTAGGTGTCTTGCAGCACGAGAACTTCCCTCCTCAGATATTAGCGTGCAATTTGGCAATATAGCAGAGAATTATAATGGGGGTGGAAACTACTGGTGTTAAAAAACTGTTGTATTATTGTAATAAGTGCAAAATGCTTAGAGCTTCTCAGTCGAAACAGAATTAAGTGCAAAGCTTGATGATTCCTCCTTATTTAAAAGTGTTATGAATGCTTCTTACAGTCTTCCTTTCTCATCCCAAGTAAGGCACGATATAATGAACATATTTTCTCACTGTGTATACAAAATGGCCCTCCTCATTAGAGATGGGGAGGCTTTTGATTTGGTTTGCATTTTAATTTGCTCTTCAGCACAACAATGCACAACACACAAAGCGGATCTTTCAAAATTCACACTTTCCCAAATTTCGTGATACAGTTTGCCGACTGAAATGTGTGTACAAAAATGCACCTGTTAGGACAAAATGTGCACAAAAATTAGGAAAATAGCATTACAAAAATATTGGGGAAAATTTATTGCAAAATGTGTATATTAAGAGAAATGTGTATTGATATGCTGATGAATTTTTGTGAGGTTGTTTTTTTTTAAATCACAAGCTCATATGCAAACTGGATTTAATATCGAACCCCCCCCCCCCAAAGCTAACAGATTCATTCATCCCTATAGTTTACTGATTAAGGATCTGTTAAAAATGTAAAGACTGGCACTCCCGCTCAAGTTACTGAGATTATAGGGCCACAGTACTTGGTCCGAAACAATTTTGTGCTACCTTTGTGCCTTTGTGAGTGTGGTCTCCATGTCCAATATGATTTGTATGATTTCAGGTTTGGGACTGAAGCAACCTGTTGAGCAATTTGCCTACATCACAAAAGAACAGGGTACATTGGATGGATGGGAAGAAAGGTGGGGCGACAATGGCCGGCCCACCCCAACCTTTGTGTAAATTCTGCACAGGGCCCATGTGCACAACACTCTGTGTTTAGGCTCTGAACGGAGGTCTGGCTCAATGCCCAGAGGTTAGGGTGTGTGTGAACTACAGCTGTGATCCTGTTCCTCCTTCCACGAATTCAACACTGCCTGTTAATGGTCTGAACAGGATTTCTGTGGCTCCATGTGGCAGTGTGAGTTCTCAGAAAAGACAGCTTCACAGGATTGTGGAGCCAAAAAGTGGTTGGTCACTGTTACCACCTGAACTGGGCCTAATTAAACATTTCCGACATTTCTAAGTAAAATCCCTTTCCCCTTTAACTGTGAGTCCTTGTAAACACGAAGGTTCTCAGATTTGTGATAGGCATCATTTTGATTTCATAGGAGTCCTCCTTTATTTACCTAGCTGGCTCTCAGCTTTTCCTCTCCCTCCGCTTGGGAAAGCTTTAACAGAGCTCTTTGCTCCCACACTGCCACAGAGATTTGTTTCAGAAACCTTTGAAAGAGATTTTTAAAGACCCTTGTCATGGGAACAGCTGTCAGCCCACACAGCTCACTTTTAATATTTGAAGCTTTTTTTAATGTTTAATTTGCTTCTACAGGTTTTGAGCCGATTTTATTGTTGTTGAGTTAAAAAAAATTCTGTTGTTTTAATTAACCCCTGCCACCCAAGCAACTGAAAAGCACACTAGCATCTCATGATGTTTCTCAAGCCTGAGCTTCAGAAATGAGTATATTTGTATGGCCTGAGCCCAGGGTAGTAGTTCGAAACATAAACGGAGTCACGCAAGCATTTATTTATGCATTTGATCCCATTTATGGATCGCACCTCACAAAATACCTCGCAGCGATTTCACAGTGAAAATATCAACAAAAAGAACAATTAAAAAACAACCCCATATGTAAAAACAATTTCAACAATTCCACGTGGGTGGAAGATTAAAAGCTATTTCGTATGCAAAACCTATTCCAAATCCAATAGAGACACAGGTGGGGATAAAGATTTCTACTTAAAAGGCTTGTTGAAAAAGGAGAAATCTTTCCATGGGTGCTGAACAGGTGATATAGATGGAGCCTTTCTGACATGGGATGGTGACATGGGATGGGTTGGGGAGGAGTTCTGAAGAGCAGATGCTATTTCAAGTGGTGTTTGTTATCATATATATATATATATAGCCAGTATATATTTTTATATATGAGACAGTGTGATGTAGTGGTTAAGAGCGGTAGTCTCGTAATCTGGGGAACCAGGTTCGCGTCTCCGCTCCTCCACATGCAGCTGCTGGGTGACCTTGGGCCAGTCACACTTCTCTGAAGTCTCTTAGCCCCACTCACCTCACAGAGTGTTTGTTGTGGGGGAGGAAGGGA